ATACCTCAACATAAAGAAAACAAAACTCCTCACAATTGAACTAATAAAGAACATGATAATAAATGGAGAAAAATTGAAGTTGTCCAGAATTTCATTTTACTTAGATCTATAACCAATGCTCAGGGAAGTAGCAGTCAGGAAATGAAACAACGTATTGCACTGGGCAAATCTGCTGCAAAAGACCTTTTTAAAGTGTAAAGGGGCAAAGATGTCAGTTTGAAGACTAAGGTGTTCCTGACTCAAGCTATCGTATTTCCAATTGCTTTATATGCATGCAAAAGCTGAACAGTGAATAAAAATGAATTTGTACATTTGAATTATGGCATTGACAAAGAATATTGAAAATACTTTGGGCTTCCAGAAGAACAAACAAATATGTCTTGGATCAAGTACAGGCAGTATGTTCCTTAGAAGCAAGGATGGTGAAACTTTGTGTCTAGTCAAACTGTCAGAAAGGACATCATACTTGGTAGACTATATGGTCAGTGAAAAAGAGGAAGACCTTCAACAATATGGACTGACTCATTAGCTGCCACAATGGGCTCAAGCAAAGCAAGGTTTGCAGGACTGCAGTGTTTGATTCTGTTGTACATAGGATTCTGCTATGAAGCAGAATCCAGTCTACAGCACCTAACAAAAACAACCTAATTTTCCTTCTTGATATTGTACTATTAAAAATTCAGATAAAGTCATTCCAATTGTGAATTTCCCATCAAATATGGAATATACTTATGTAATGGCAATATGTGTAATATACATCACATAATTATGTTTTATAGCTTTTTAATACTAATATAAATGGAGGATTGTCTTCCTAGGTATGGTTCAGAATTCTGAAATAGCATCCATTCCTAGAAATTCTTTTCTCTCTAGCTTTCAGTAGTCCGTGACACCATTTAAATACCTCTTAGATCTCCAATTCCTGCTGACAACTCTCTTTGGATTTCCTAGGCCAGCATTGTCCTATAGAATTTTCTGTGAGAATGGAAATATTTTGTGACTGTGCTCTTCAATATGGCAATTATTAGATGTGGGAAGCATTTAAACACTTGGAATATGACTAGAGGGACTGACAAACTGATATTATATTTTATTTCATTTTAATAAACTTAAATCTTAATAGCCATAGGTGGCTAACAGTCATTGTATTCAAGAGCACAGTTCTTAGCTCTCCCTTCTCCATTTACAAGCATATTTTGGCAACTTCTTTACTCCATTGTAGTGAAACATCTTTGAATGAATATAGTTACTCTATGTTTATATAATTGATGTTATATTCTTTACCATCTATTATTTATTGAGCACTTAATATATGTCAGGCACTATTCTGAGCACTTCATGAATAATGACTCATTCCACTATCATGAGAAAGTTACATTGTAATAATACCTATTTTATAGCTGTATAAATTGACACAACCAGAGCTTAGTTCATTTATAACTCAGATCAACAGCTAGTAAGTGGTGTAGCCAGGATGTAAATTGCAGGCAATCTGGTTTCAAATCTCTGGTTCTCACTCTGTTCTTTATCATTTCATTTTAGAGACTGTTTTATTTTTTATTTGCTGCTTTATTTTTTATAAGTAGTTCTCTTTATGCAAAATGCACCATAGTTGGGACATTTCTAAGAACATTAGTTGTGTGTGTATAATTTATAAAATTAGTAATAACTCTGTATTGCCTGTCATGAGGGAAAAGAAAAGAACAGGCAGCTCTTTCTTGCTTTTCTATTGCATCATATTATATAAGCAGAAACTCAAAAATATAGTCCAAAATGTTTCTAACATGTTTCCTAATTTGGCACTGGAATCTTAATTCATCAGAATTATAAAAAAGCTATTAAATATGATTGACATTTAGCAGGAACTATAGTTTCGTATCACTACATTTTTTTTTTTTCTTTTTCTCACTACATGAAAGTTTTAAATTCGTCAAGAACAATAATTTTCAAAGGATTACAATGTTCAGGTTCAACTCAGGTAGATTATCTGAGAATTGAAATTACTTAAAAGTTTACTGTCCATAATTAAAGAATCTTACCTGCTAATATTACAGAATGCCTTTAAGAAACATGAAATCTGTCATGTTAAGTATGCCTCCAAGCCTTTTCCAGATTGTTCATAAATTTTTTTATTTTCCTGAGAAATGTGGTCTCTAAGAAATAAATATCTCTGTCAAGTCACAAGTAATATGAGTATATGATGAAAAAACGGAATTTTTGAGTCTTATAAGGGATATCTCAGTATTGTGAAATTGATTTTATTCCTTGTAATTTAAAGACTGACATGGTCATTTTCGGATTTACCTTCTGAATATAATGGGAAAGTGGGAGACAGAGGCCTTTGGGGACCAGGATAGTAGTATTCATATGAAATTCTTTGTCATAAAATACTAATGTTGGTGTTCTTGTCTTTATGTCTGTGCATTCTTTAGCTATGAGGATAACAGACCCTTCATCAAGTAAGAATGACCTGAATGACTGATAAATTCCATTTATCAGTGTGGTCCCATGAACCAGCTGTCAGATCAGTACTGAAAAATCATTAGAGCTTCTGTCATTCACATTGAGGCAGAAGAGCAAACTGTGCAGGCAAAGAATCAGGCATACAACTTTATGCAGAATAAATATGCTGCAGGTGTATTGCCGAGATATTCTCTATCACTTCTTTTGATTGGATATCACCTGAATTCAGAGCAACAGTAATAGCAGTTTCATGTGGTACAGACTTGTTTTGCTTTCAATAGCTTTTCCTTTCCATTGTGATGTGTTTCTCTGTCTACATATGTCCACATTTCTGTTGTTTATTTGGGCATCATTCATTTAAAATTATTTTGTGATTTAGTGGCTTATCTTCAAAATGATCTTATGTGTTTGAAACTACCCAGTTGCAAATGATATTAATGAATTGTTAAATTGAATAACTAGAAAGGAAAAAATCCTCCTCAAAAATTACATCATACATAAACAAATTTATCTCCTTCAAATTTGACATCTATTACCTTACTTATGATCTAGTTGTTTATGAATGTATATTTTAAGGTTCTGAACCAAAGCTTCAAGTCTGTACCAATCTAAAAAAATAAACTTATATGGTAATATTTGGAATTTTTTTCTATGTACCTTTTAAAACCACATATCCTGCAACAATAAACTAAGACTGACAACCTAAGGGTGACTTTATTGTAAACTTTCAGTTTGTTCTTCTGGTGAAGAGTCCTTTGTTTTCATTTTCTCCAATGCCATTTCACTTACTTCTTCATGCTCTTGCTTATTTATTTATTTAGAATTAGAGATCATTGCAGCTTTATATGGTTTCAGCCCTTGGTTCCTTCATGCATTATCTGGTGAATAATAGCTGACTTCAATATTTTAACCTATCATTTTATTTCCAAACCTAAATAGCAATTTTGTCTTGCAATGTTATTCCCATTTTTCCTTTTTCTAATATCTATAAGAAGCTGATTGCTTTACCTTGAAAGTTCTGAATTCAGTTATAAAATATTAACATCTAGGAAGTTTTCTCATTCAAATAAGCAAACATACCACATACAAACCCCCTTACGGATTCCATAGTCAACAATGTTAATGTTTTAAATTAAACATATTAAATCTAGTGGATATTTAAACCTGAAACATAGTCTAATATCTAATAATTTGATATAAAATATTAAATATTTAAGATAAAATTTAATAAGGTTTTAATAATTGACTACTGTGGGACTATATGTTTTTTCAGATGTAGATTTCCCTGAAACGATACTGAACTCAGCTTTAGATTATCATTAACTCAGCATAATGATTTTTTCCTTTAGTTTACAAAGTTTCAATTCCCATATATAGCTCTTGCTTAGAAAATATAAGTGAAGAATAGTAGTCTCATGAAAAGAAATTAGTTCACTCTGTTCACAGAAGGAGGTCTAGTAAAGAAAAGAGTGAATTCTTGAATGTATAGAGATCTAGAATTTTTTGTTCATATTCTCCCATTTACCTAAAGAGGAATTGGGAAGGATTCCAGCTTCAGTTGTTGGATTGCCATCTATTGGAAGAATCCACTTTATGTTATAGTAAATAAATAACATATGATCAAAAATGTGGACTTTTGTCACCTATTTATTACTCTTGTGGATATCACCTTGGCAGAAATGAAGAGAATGGAATGAAAGTGAGAATTTGCCTTCCATTCTAGACTACCTCTTCATACCACTCCATCACCATTCTCAGCTTCATTTTCTCTTTTGAGTTTAAATTCAAAAAGAGATAAAAGTGCCCTGAACCTAAAGGCCTCTTCTCATCAGGTGGTCCAAGTACCTGATTTCCAAAATCTAGGTTTAACGTAACCTATAAGACAGCAATTAAAATGCTGAAAGAAAGTAGATAATGATGCAGAGTGCATTTTTTTTTTTTCGTATCCACTAAACTTCACAGTTGTTCTACATAGCTATGGAGTAAGACAAATAAAACTTCCAAAATTCATACATGTACTCCAAATACTGGTTCCTGCTAATATGAGATATGTTTTTGTGAGTGAGCATTAAAACTTATGGAAAAATAGGAAATTTGGAAAAATGGGGTAAAATATATAAGATCAAGCACAAAGAGAGTCCAATCAAATAAATACTATCATACTAGTGAGACCAGTAAAGACTAACATGGCTTAATAGATTTTTTTTTTCCTTACCCTTCACCATAATTACATCTCCATATCATTTGCATATGTGCTTCTCTGCTGCAAATACAGGAATAATTTATGGTACAAATTTGCTTTAGTCTAAATGGATTTCTGTGTCCATAACATTTTCATTCACATATACCTCCTCAAGCTTGAAAACATGTTGTCCCCATTAAATTCTTAAGGCACTTACACCACCTGTCTTACATTTTCTGTCAATAGAGCTAAGCGTAACATTTTTTTTTTCAGTGTTAATATTATTGATTGCTATGATTATGTTGATTAAAAACTAATCATCTGATAACTCTTAATTTCCTCTTTATTTTTACAGGTCATGGGTTATAGGTGCAATAGCTCTTCTCTGCCTATTAGGATTGACCTGGGCCTTTGGACTCATGTATATTAATGAAAGCACAGTCATCATGGCGTATCTCTTCACCATTTTCAATTCTCTACAGGGAATGTTTATATTCATTTTCCATTGTGTCCTACAGAAGAAGGTAAGCTAGAATTTTCTAATCAAGAATAAATAGCATATGTCTCATGACAACAAAGCAACCATATTCTAAATACATCATCTTGATATGTTTTTTTTCTAAGAAATAAATATATTACTTCATTAATTGTTACTAATAATAGTAAAGGAAAAACAAACAAATATCAGCAGAATCATTGATGGGAGGATTTAACAGCAAAAACTGAAACCAAAATATTTTATAAGTTGGACTATAAATAGCAGTCATTTTCTTCTGGACTTGACCTTATAAAGTCTATAAAGTTTATATCCCAGACACACAAAATTTATATATTAGGTTGTAATTCTTTTCTAAGATATCATGAAGGCATAGGACATATATATCATGGCCTAGGGTATCAAATATAAAATATATCTTATGTAAAATATATATCATATATTTCTATAAATATATGTATCTCGCTGTAAAAACCAGTTTACACTAGAAAGTATAAATATCTAGAGAATTTATGGTAAAATAGTATAAATTTATAGTTTTTAATGTATGATGAAGTATTTAGTAATCAGCCCTGTATTTATTTTCTTTAAAAGTATTTATAAAATAAATTAATTTGGTGATTAGAATGCAATATGTAAATTTTATACTGGCCTATGTTTTGAAGTTTTACATCTATAAGGGCATAAAATATTAATTGAAAAATTTATTTTAGCAGCTAACTACTTTTATTGCAATTAAAAAAATATTGATTTTCTAATTTTATCATTTTTAACTCTATTTAAAATGTGCTATGTATAGCTCAGGAGCTCTGGTGGTGTAGTAGTTAAGGCATTTGGCTGTTAACTAAAAGGTGGTGGTTCAAACCCACCAGCCTCTCCATTGAAGACAGATTAGGCAATCTGCTTCCATAAAGATTGACAACCTTGGTAGCCCAATGAGGGTTGCTGTGAGTCAGAATCGACTCAATGGCAGTGAGTTTGTTTTATCTATAGCTCTAATGATATAAATCACAGAGCCTGATTGCCTTCATTTGAATCAGTTCCTCTGTTAAAACTTTGTTTTACTTTGGTTAAGTTATTAACTAACTTCTCCATACCCCAATTTCCACAGGTGTAGCATAACAGAAATGAAAAGAGTGAATACCTACCTTATGATTTTTGTAAGAATCATTTAAATTAACACATGTTACATTTTAAGTATAATACAATAATAGAACATAGTAAAGGTCTATAAAAGTTGGCTGTAAATTCCATCCTTCATAGACCACCACATGCAACTAAGTTTATTTCTGTGGATATTTTATTTGTTTGAATTTATTCTTTTAAATTCATGAAGTTTGTGTTCACTCTTTATTTTCTTCACTTGTGCATTGCTCAAAAACGTGTACTTGAAGTGTCTGGAGGCTGAATTCTTTTGCCAGAAACTCAGTATCCCACTATGTGGGTATGTGATGACTACCATAACACCATCTTGTTACCTTCTCAGGTGTAGGATTACATTGGTATATAGTACATTAATTACCTTTTTATTGTCTTTATGTCTCCCACAGTAAACAGCTTTCTAAGTGGTGAGAACACAATAATAATTTCTATATTTAAAGTTTGAGCATGCCCCATGAGAAAGAGAGTGAAGATGATATCGTAACTGAAGAATGTTTTATAGTGAATGTGATGATATATGTTGTTAAAAAAAAAAAAAAAAAAACTCACTACCATCCAGTCGGATCCAAGTCATAGACACCCCTCCATGGGTTTTTGAGGCAGTATCACTATGAAAGTAGGTTGTCCAAACTTCCTTCCAAGGAGTGGCTTGTGGGTTTGAATCACCAGCCTTTTAGTTAGCAGTTGAATGCCTTAGGCACTACGCCACCAGAGTTCCTTATATATCCTTAGAGAAGCATAAACAACACAAATTGTGGAAAGCTTTGACTATGATGCTGAGTCTTTCTTTTGTTGCGAAAAAATATTGCTTTTAAGAAGATTCTTTAGACTAATAAAAATCATCAGTTGCAAAGCTCTCATATTTATAACTAAATTATGAGACATTGAAAAAAGATGGCTCTGAAAATGTAGTGGGAAAAGGTGAGAAAAAATTCTAAAAGAGAAACATCAAAGCCAGGTTTTGTCTCAGAAAAAGAAAATAACGGGTAAAGATGTCTATATCCAGGATTTCTGCTTTGAGAGTGTAGTGGAACCTGAAAGAAGGATGTCCACTAGTCAAGATGAGTTTAATTTTTTTCTGTTTCAATTTTAGGTGATGGTAGGTATCTAAAATTTGTTGACATGATCTCAAATACAGACAGGACTGGAAATGATAAAGTGAGCATATAAATGTAGATTATAGAAAAGATGTTGTATTAGAATCTACTAGATTGAAATTAACCTTAGAAAAGATGTTATGTTAGAATGTATATATGTCCCCAATACTTGTTGTATACTTTATCTATGTGCTACAACAGAAACTCCCAAATTTTGGTGACTTAAACTAGTAATTAATTAATTATTTATTTTTTACTCATGGTCTAAATGATGAGAGTGCCCTGTGAATGGACCCAGGCTGCTGGAGCCTCATCCAACTTCAACAAAATCACATTGAATGCTGATATCCAGTAGAGAAGTCAGGCAAAGGGAAGATTTTGTGTAAAAGCTCTAGAAGTGGCTCATATCTCTTCCATGTGCATTCTATCAACTATAACTCACTTGGGGGTACTTTCTAACTGTTAAAGATGATTGGGAAGCCCAGTATAGCTATTTTACCCAGAAAGAAGAGGAAATAGATGAAACAAATAGCTAGACTCTTTTCACATTTGGAAAGTTTAAAGAATAGTAGACAGGTAAAAGTTGAGAAAGAATAGAGATGAAAGATGGAGGGTGTCAGAGGAGAAGAATAAGAATCAAGATGAATTGACTCCTCACTGATGTTGAGTTGGATCCACCTCATAGCAACCCCTCCTTGGGTTTCTGAGGCAGTGTCACTACAGTAAATTGCCCAACCTCAAAAAGTGGACAGTGGTGAGCACTGTAGAACATTTCAAAGTGTCAGAGACTAAGTAAACAAACCTAATCCAATGCCATTGAGCTGTTTGCAACTCATAGGAACACTTTGGGAGTTTCCAAGCCTATAAATCTTTATGGAAACAGACTGCTTCAACTTGTCCCCCATGGCACAGCTCGTAGGTTCAAACCACCAAACTTTTGGTTAGCAGACAAATGCTTTAACCACTATGCCACCAGAGCTCCTTAATATCTACCTAGGTTTAGATAAAAGGTAGGCATAACTGATCTTGAAGAAAAATAAACAGGGATAGATGGGAGTATAAACAGGAAAAAGTTGTATTTACGTCCATGAAAAGAAGGGACTGTTGTGCCCTCATAATCAATTATAACATCTTGAACTATACTGGATCAGATTATCTGTCATCTTTCCTTTATAAATTATCTGGAAATTTGGACTAACATAGTTTTTAAATTTTAAAGTAAATAAAGACATTTTCTACATATTAGAACAATTTTTTTTTAACTTTATACATAAATTATGGTGATTGTGTGTTTTATTAGCTGATACCTAGTACAGTTTTCCTAAATATGATTTTTATTTTTCTTATTTTATAAATATATATCATTGGAATAATTAGAAATTATGTTTGAAATTCAGGTGGAGATTTTGAACTTCAGGATCTCAAAACACATCTAGTAGTATATATAACATATGTTAAATTTCAAACAATATTTATACATTATCAAGCTCTATTTAGTGATTCATTAGAATAGGGTTCTGCAAGCTATAGATCCTGGCCTATGTTTGGCCAGTTGCTTTTTACTTGGCCAGCCTATAAGCCAAGGATGATTGCTAGCTTTTAAAATGTTTACATTTAAAATTTAAAATAATTCCTGCATAATATCCTTGGTTTTGTCTCTTGGCATGGAAAGCCTAAAATATTTATTTTCTGGCTCTTTAAGGAAAAGTTTTAAAACCCTGGTTTAGAAGCTTACTTTCATGATTCATAATAATCAATACTATGAATATTACTTTGTCATCCATTCTGGATTTTGAGTTTTTTTTTAATTTTGGTGTCATTTTTATTTAGTGTCAATAACATGGGCCAATATCAGATAATACAGAAAAGATGGAATGACTGTTTGGTTATTTTTCCCCAAAATAAAGCAGATATTTTTCTTTGAAATTTTAGAAACAGTGTTAGGAATACTTTTTAGGCCATCTGGTTGAATTCAATAATATGCCCACACTAATCTTCAGGTAAGGGGAGTGAGATGACAGGCCCCACCCAAGAGGCAGGAAGCAGGGGAATAGTTGGGGATGAGACAGAGCCATGGGATCCAGGTAAGGGGAGGGCAAAGAGGTTTCAAACAGCTAAGAGAGACCAACTTTGGGGGCTTGCATGTTGCTGTGAGGCTTGAGGCTGTGCCACCAGTGTTTCAAACACCAGGAGAATTTCACAGGTCTCAAAACAGCTTACAGACTGACATAGACTAGGAATAAGGAAGGGGCCATCCACTTCTCAAAGAATTGGCCAGGGAAAACCCTATGCATAGCAGAGAAACACTGCCTGATAAATCACTAGGCAACTTTACGAATAGCCCAGAAACATTATCCAATACAATGCAGGAAGACAAGCCCCTTAGGTCAGAAGGGGCTCAAAATATGACTGGGAAAGAGCTGCCTCCTCAGAGTAGAATTGACCTTAATGATAAGGATAAACTAAAGCTCTCAGGACCTCCATTTGCTGATGTGGCACAACTTAAATTGTGGAGAAACAGCTGCAAACATCCATTAATAATCAAAACATGGAATGTACGAAGTTTTCCTACAATGTAGGAAAGTTGGAAGTTGTCAAAAATGAAATAGAACACATAAAGATTGATATCCTAAGCATTAGTAGCTGAAATGGACCAGTTTTGACTATTTAAAATCTGACAACCTTGTGATCTACTATGCCAGGAATGACAATTTGAAGAGGAATGGTGTGGCATTCATCATTACAAAGGATGTTTCAAGATCTGTCCTGA